TACAATCAACATGGCTGACAAAACTGACCGATCCAAAAAGGTTCTCACATATCATTCCGAAATGGTAACGAAGCTTGGGGAATTATTTTCAACAAAGTCCAAAGAGTGGGACTCAATTTGCGATCAATTAGAAGCGATGGGTGACATCACACCAGCCAATAGAGAAGATAATGTAAAAAGCATGCATGATTTATGCAAGTGCTTAAAGTCTAATGGCACAATCGTTTACGGGGGATACAAAACTTTACGTGCCGTTCTCCGTGCACAAAATGTGGAAGCGGGTCAAATAATTGACACATACACGAAACTGATCCATCAGGAAAACGAAGGTAATGGTAAGTCTTTATCAATATCATCACCGCTATAAATCAGCCAATCACTGATAAACAGTCATTTTCCAATGATAACTTTGAATAGTACCAATCAGTTTGTGTGTGTCAATTATTTTCATATACCACGAAACCAACCCGTACTTCTTTTCTGTCATACAGGTGTAGAAAATACCTGCAAGTCGCAGGCGGTGTTCAGTGAGCAAAATAGCGAGGACAGAAAGAGTAAGTATACCACAGGAACCTGTGCTATATTTGGATCTAAAATTGGGTGTTAAGAGTAAAGTAACACGTTGAAGGGGTTTATCGGCTGGAAAGATGGATACTTTCTCTCATTTAAAAACCTTCTATATGCATGGAAAATGATTCTTCTTCCATGTACATGATCTCCGTTTCGTCCGACACCACATGCCATTTCGATCGATCAAATTGTTTCGTAGTCACAGAGCCATTTTTCCAAAAATTATCTCTATGACTGCAAACACGTCGAAAACAGATTGTGCGTGTGTTTTTGGAGGACACGTAGATAATTTCAATTAAAGGGGAATACACTTTGCGTTTTAAAAGAAACATTATCCATCTTTCAAACGCTACCAAGCATATTGTGTATATCAACTAGAAATATGTTTTTGACGCGAAGAGGCTTGGCACGTGGAGTCAATTATTCGACATCGAGAGCTTTCCTCCTTTAATTGAGTAATCCAAACGTTTTAGTTAAGTTCAGCAATGTTTTGTTAAATAATTGGATTCACAAAAAATATGAATGAAGTCGTATCAATAGCATGCCTGATCAACGTCTACAGGAAAACAAGGACCGAGTGGTGACCGGGATCCGTTAGATGACTCCAAGCTTAGAAAGGAGAAACGGAAAAAAGGCGAGTATGATTTTTTGTAAATTTTACAATGTACAAAAGGTATGTGTGAGGACAGAACGCCACAGTTGTTATTAAATGGATAATGCTTCAAATCATTTACGAACTTTTTTATTCTTCAAAGTTAGTTTATCGGAGACACCGAATGGCCCTTACGATAACAGTTGCACGAAGATTAAGATTATTACACTCTAGTGGTATATTTCGCGTTAATTATTAACACATGAGGTTTCTAGCATAGATATAGGATGTTACTTTAGTATCAATGGCATAATAAGTTATTGAATGAGTTCAATAATTCAGTATATACACACGATTGGTTTGGTTAGGTTTGGGTTTGTATTGTTTAACGTCCTATCAACAGCTATGGTAATTTAAGGACGGCCTTCCTGTGTGCAAGATGCATGCGTATAGTGTATGCATGTGTGTTTTGGGAGGCTGCGATATGTTCGTGTTTGTCTCCTTGTGATAGCGCGGAACTGATGCCGACTTTATAGTACTATATCACTGAAACATACTGCCGAGACACCCAAGAGGACACCCCACCCGGTAACATTATACTGTCAATAGCGTTAAGCAGAAGTAGAAACTACCATTTTTACAGACTTTGGTATGTCTCAGCCAGGGGACAGAACTCAAAGCCTTCCTCACAGGGGCGAACGCTCAACTAAAGGCCAAAAGTGAGACATTGTCAAGGGAGACATTAGGAAGAAAAAACTTGTTTAAAAAGAAGAGAAAAGACTAGATCCCGAATTTAGTCGCCTCTTACGATTATGCAATGGGGGCAGCATGTACAATTCTTACGCCCTACCTGCAGGGACATATGAACAAGAACGTAAGATTCTATTTATAAAAATTTGAACACAACTATGCGTTATCATAGTATGTTTGTACCACGCATTGCAAAGAAGTCCCAGATTTTTTTTAATAATGAACAGTTTTATATGCAATGAATATGAATATTCATTAAAATAAAAGTTAATGCATCATGTGGTATTGTGAGTAAAGGTATTACCTATAGTAGGAATATGTTCCCACGGTTTTGACCAATCGTAGCACCTTTAGGTTGTATTACAAGTGTGTACTTACATATGTATGACATAGCCGTATGACATAGTCAAATGCATCAGTTATATGATAAATTGCAAGAGAAGATTTTTTTTTATCTTTAAACATTTTATGTCCCCTTTTACCCGACAATCCTATTAGTGCAGGATCACTTTATTCCATTTTAAAGAAAGTTACACTTCATCAGATCATTACAATTACCAAACAATGAGAGGAATTAATTAAGCATCTTCTTCGTTTTTACACATAACAAAAATCTTACAAAATATTTGAAAGAAACATGTAATCAATCCAGTTATCAAACTGTAATAAATAATGATAAAGTATAAGAGCGGAGCTGCACTATGCACAATGTCTTTGGCCAGGCAGACGTGTCTTGTATGCTAACATGTAGAGTAACAACACATGTTAACATTAGTCTTATTCATGTATCATATATTATTATATTATAGGGCTATGGACGCAGTTCGACCGGCGTCATTTAACGTGAAACAACCGTTAGAAATTAACATTTTGGTGACGTTAGGCTGTTCCAGGAGTCTCGCGTTTGACGACACACGCGCTTAAATATCAAAAATATAAGATAATATCTACATAAACATCAATAATAACTATAAATGTAGAATGTAAATAAATGTATTGAAGTATACTTTACAATTTTCATGACGGGGTGAACACTGAAAATGACCTGTTCACTACTTATATATAAACTATATACCAACACCTACAAAATGATCGGCAGTAAAATAACTTCTGACTTGTTCTCTCTATAGTTGAAGAAGACCGTCCTTATCAGTTTAGAAAACAGATGGACAATACCCATGACGCAAGAATAATTGACGTGTGGACGCGTGCAAGAAACGCTGTTGGACGCATCAGAGGGCCACAATACACCGGAACAGGGATAAGAGTTGGTACCAAGTACATTCTCACTGCCTATCATGTCGCAAAAGACATAACAAGTAAGTTAATAAGAAAGATGATTCTACTCCGATATTTACAGACTTAAATAAACTTCCCTTGTCAAGGCATTGCCTATATATTGGCAACTTATTTTGAGGAATTGCGTTTATAGTTCCTAGATGGCAAC